CGAATGCGAAGGCGAGCTGCCACATGCTCAGCATGTCCGCGTTGGGGTGGCCCTGCAGCCCGCCACTCAGCGTGACCTTGCGGAACAGCAGGTATTGGGCACGCCGCGTCCAGAGTTTGGCAACCCTGGCGCATGACTTGAGATCCTTGGGCGAGTCGCCCAGAGCATCGATGGTGAAGTCGAGGAGCTCAGGAATGGTCAGCACCCTGCCAACGGCGGTGGTGCCACCCAACTGCCACCGAGGCTGGCGTCAGAGCTTCGTCCAAGAGGATATGTACAGACGTGCTCACTATGTTTCGTGAGGGAAACCCGGACATGGGCGCGCGTGGAGATTAAAGTATGATATGGGACGAGATGAAGGAAGAGGAAGAACCGTGACCGTGTTTGGCTCGTTCCTCGTGATTCGAGTCAAGAAAGCCAGCCACATTAGACCAAATCGGGATGCTATTGTTCTTCCATTTTTGGTCAATACTCGCGATGGATTTGCGTATACGGACGCCTTTATCGACGCTGGCGGAAGGTTGCATGCAGGTTGGCGCACAGTATATTGTTACAGAATTCGACGGACTAGATGTGAGGTGTGAAACAAGATAATCTAAGAAATTTCCTACTTCTCCTGTGCATCGGCGTTACAGGCGCGCCCGCGACGCTGGCATGCCGACGAAAACGGCTGTTGCGACGAGCTTGCGCCGAGTGAGATCCCAGACCTAAAATCCAAGTTGAGGCTACCTTGCATACAAAACAAAAACCTGCATGCACACCTCACTTCGACAGGACGTCGTGCCAGCCGCGACAGCCAATGTCGTGTTTATGAATCGCAGCTTGGCGCCGCTATATGAGGAGTGTAAGAGCCATGCTCAAGTAGGAGATAATGGGACTTACACTGCAACTGGGTTATGGAAAACCGTGTTAAGGCTCTGCGAGACGCCGCACATCCCGGGCCCACCTTCTGCGTAATCGAGCGTCGTCACCGCCGAAGACGTGCATCTAGCGCAGTCAAGTAACGAACATGTATAGAAAGAGAAAGTCTTACTCATCTATCACGACTACAATGAACGAGTTGCTGAGCCGATCTCGCCCGTCAAGCATATCTGCATATCCCACTAAGTGAATCTGGCCAAAGAAAAAAAAAGTGATGGGCCTGCATTACCTTCCGTGACATGAAGCTCAGCAACCAGCGTTAGTATTCGGGTGTCCTCCAGCGGATTCGCATCCAACGAGACCGAGGTGACCGTCGTTCGTCGCGACGAGGCGCCAGCGAAGCATTTCGGCGGTGAGTGAAAAATATTGAGCCATTTTACCGACATTTCCTTCACGTCGCGGGCGGCATTACCATGTATGTTTGCAACAAGGTGGTCTGGGAGCGGTGTGCGCAGGATGCGCGCCATATTGGCGTTGTGGCTGTCAAAGGCCGACATGGTCTGGAGGCAAACAGTAGGCATCGGCCCGGCGATACCCGGCTCCCCGTTGGCCAGTTTGTTCCGAGTCGATTCCGATTTCAACCGGTTACTTCGTTTCTCGGTCTTGTTTGCCTCATACAAGATCCGGCTAATTGGGCCATTCCCGGAGGCTGGACGTCGACAGGACATCCTTCCCTTCACAGACCGCCACAGATCTCGAGCCGGGGAGTGGCAGGGAAGGAATGATTGTGCGGGAATCCGCAGCGGGATTATCTTGGAATTATCCGCTCTTTAACAAAATGGCCCTGCTTGAATCCCCATAACTGAGCCTCTGTTCACCACTATGTTTAACCCCGTACAGAGCCTTTCAGCTGACCTCTTTTTGCACTGCCGATTCTTCCCTTCATCCCGGAACCAGACCCATGACCACTTACGCAGCGACAGATACGCTACGCACTGCACTGCGGTTGTGGCCTAATCGGGTGTTCCTTGCTTTTCCGGCAGATGTTCAACCGCCGCAGGATCCGAATATTGGCCGCCGCAGCACTGGCTGGCTACATTTCTATCCACCCGTCGATTTGCGCAGTCAATTTGCTTCCTGTCTCACCCCACAACCCACTTCAGTTCTGCTCTGCACCAATTGACGCCTCATCTCCGGTTGTCGTTCAAATCCTCAACCACCATCCTTCAATCTGTCTGTACATGACACCAAACGACCTTCAATGATGCTACAGAATGTTCTCGGACTATCAAGATGCCTCCAGATTAGCTGCTCCAATGACTGGTCTCTCGTATTCATTAAACGCTTCAACAGACTTTTTTCCATCAAAGCGTCAAGATCAATCGAGGACGTTCATCTGGTTATAATGTAAGATTGTTTACAAGGCTGGCGCCAGCCTATGTTTTTTTCCCCTCACTCCTCACCTCTTTCAATACAGACTCGATCCCACTCGCGAGTTTCTGCTCACATGCAGAATAAGCCCTCCCGACCGTGTCGATCCTTTAACGAGCCTCTATATTCCCTATTCGCCTCTAGGTGAGATTGTTTCACTCTCCATTTCATGCTGACAATTCTTCGGACTAGGCATTGGATGAACGAGCGGGGACTAGCATTACTACGCCTTCTTCAATCATACATACATTCAAATTTCCCTCGAATAACGCAATTCTTTGGCTGAGTGCAGTTTCCTCAATCTCACTTGAGTTTCCCGACGCTTCAACAGAGAACCGAGCTCGAACACAGTAATTTTGGTTGGATATTTTCTCAATCATGTTGGATTTCCATTCAATCCATCCGCTCACAATTCACGGGCGCACCGGAGCGAAGGTTAATGCCTGACATCGCTGGCATGAATTTACGACTTCAGAATGTCCTCATGGCTGATCATACCCCGGGATTTAGCGTATAAAGGATGAAGTAAAGAGAAAGGTATCGGTCTCATAGTATTTCCCTGCTCCGACCGCGAGAGCCTCTTGTTCTAAGGTGTATTTAGTATCAGAGGTGATAAAATCGCCGCGATTGGGCAGTATGGAGATCTATGCGTCCAGCCGTGACCTCCAGAGTGACATCATATGGTGAAAGACAATGTGAGGTCGGCGGACCTTCGACCATACTGTCTGAGACGTTTTAAAATGACGCACCTCGATGAAGCCTTTGGTTTATGGCACTTCAGGCTACTATGAAGTGACCCCTGATAGGCTATTTTGTCCCAATTGCGGACTGTACCTAATAGGGGTCACTTCGGTGGACTCATTCCACCGCATATGGATTCATCCCTGGGATGGATGAATCCACCTTGCGTCACATCACGCTCACCTGGATTCATCCACCGACCCTGGGGTGGATTCATCCATGCTGCGCTCACGCAGCCCGATTTCGGATTTTTGGGGCCCGTACGGGGCCCATTTGGTGCCTCCTGCTGGGTCTTCTTTCAGGGTAGTTTACTGTGCCCTTCTTACCATGTATCATAGCCATTGCACAATATAACAGCTGCATTTGTGCAGCTTGATTTTGCAATTTTTGTGCAGGTACAGGGCCATTTTTTGGAGGTTGATAACTCGGTCAACATAGTTATATACATTACACCTCGCACATATATCACAATCAACACGCCAGATGCATCACCTGAGATGTATTGCTTCAAATATTATTTCCATACTAAATGGTTAAAAACAGTCTAACCTGTGCATAGAACTGCACTAAAAGTCATATTCCGGTGGATAAATACCTATGAAACTAAGTCCAGATGGTCCAAGGGTCTACAAATTGTTGGAACAGATTTTATTTCGAAAAAACTGCCAAAAATATTCCTTCCCAATAAGGAAATTCCTGTAGAAGTTTGTTGTTTGTTGTTTGTTCAATCTGGGTACTGACCTATTTCATGAGTATTAGAAATACTACAGCCCTAATCAAAGGAATTGAGGTAATCTGAGTTTCTATACTTTTGGTAAACCTGCCAGTTATCCAAATCTCAATGTTGTATTCAGCCACAACAAAACATTCTAGAGACCCATTGAGCTAGTCAAATGGAAGCTAGAAGGTATATGGTAAGTATGAGTTAGGAAGGAAAGAAAGATTGGGCACACATGCATCGTGCTCTTTAGAAAGCTTACACATGCCGGCACTCCGTCCCTGTACTGAAACAATAGTCATCATGGTCATAGCAGCAGTCATCAAAAATGCACTGGAGATGCTACAGTCCTAACTGCCATTGCTGTCAGTATAGGGATGTACAGTAGTCTAAGCTCTATATATAATCTTATTAATTATGAATTATACTTGTGTGTTGTATATTATGATTGAGTTTTGCAGTGAAATTTAGGCAGGAGCCAATCAGTAACAAACAACCAATATCGTCCCAATAAGGAGATCTGAGAAGAGCTAAAAATAGAGAAAAAATAAGAAAAGGGTTGGAAGCAACTGATGACAGTTTCAGGTATTTTATGTGATATATATTCATTTAACGATACTAACAGGCTTCGACAAAGCAGGTGGGACAGCATATGGTAAATAGTCTAAAAGTGGGACATCCCACAATCTTGATGGGAGAAATGGGATGTCCCATGTTATATGTATTTAAAGTGGGACAGCCCACAGATTTCATAAGAAAAGTGGGACATCCCACGGATTTGAGATGAAAAGTAGGATGTCCTAGTATATCTTGAGTGATCCCAGCAAGCTGACATGGTATGCATTGCGGAGGTGTAGTGGGGGGTGGCTGGATAAGTGGTTTTTTTTTGCAGAAAATCGAGCCCCAATATTTAAAAGGAAATCACATGGCTTATGTCCAAAAAGAAGGCCCAGGTTGCAGGCTCTTTGGATCACCTGCACCCCAGGCAAGGGGTGAGCCGGTGCCCCAAAAATGCGCATTTTGGCGCTGGTGTGACGTGACACATGTGGGATATCCCAGAAATCTTTCTCCGCCTGCGGCGCGCTGGGACGTCCCACTGTCCCTAGGACACCCACCCAAAAAAAGTACCTCTAGGGGTAGTTACTTTCCAATAAAAATTCACCCCTAATGGGTGCCCAGAAGGGTAGCCTGAAGTGAGTAATTACATCTTTTATTAGGTTTGAGTGAGGGCCAAGCATGGCTTTATTAAGGTTGCTTGGTCTAACGGCATGACACTTAGACATGGTACAGTGCTACACAACTCAACTTGCCTAACACGTGAAGAGGGTTCGACTCCCTCAGCAACCATTATTTTGGCCGGCGGACCGTTAACTTTGATTTAAGCTACGTCATTTTGAAACAAGAGACAACAACCGTTATTGTCCGCATATAGTAATTTTGGTTTGAGTGGTTCGAAAATGAACCGTGCCAGTCGATAAAAATCGCAATAAACTCGTCAATCGTGAGGCAGTTCTATTCGGCGGGATGGTGATTTGTTAGACAGGTAAGTATCTGGTGTAATGTGTGTAGAAAGACTATAAAATTTGATTGAAAGCAAACAAAGGTCTGGATTCATCCATGCATCTAGTAAGCCACGCGTGGACGAATCCAGGTGGGAACCAAACAAATGGATGGATTAATCCAGCCGTCATCTGGATGGATCCAGGTGGGAACCAAACAAACACGCGGATGAATCCGCTTCAAAGCAAAAAATATCACCTGGATAAATCCACCGTGAAAGGAAAAAACGGTGGATGAATCCAGGTGTGAAAATACTTGCATGGATTCATCCACCGTGGAAGAAAAATACAGGTGGATGAGTCCATGTAGGGTGGATGAATCCAGGTAGATAAAATATACTGGAGGGTGGATGAGTCCATGTACGTGGATGATCCATGCAGCAAAAAAATGGGTACGTGGATGAATCCACATAAGTAAAATTCATGTGCATGGATGAATCCATGTGAGTAGAAATAGTGGAGTGGATGAATCCAGAAGGCATAATTAGGGTTAGCCTGGATTCATCCACATGGCATCCCAAACCAAAAAATTGGCAAAAGTGCATGGATATCAGGGGCGGAGCCATGCATGGATATCGAGGGTGAACCCGTGCATGGATATTGAGGGCGAACCCGTGCATGGATATCGGAGGTATCCCAAAATTCCTAGGAAAATGGCCCTGTACCTGCACAAAAATTGCAAAATCAAGCTGCACAAATGCAGCTGTTATATTGTGCAATGGCTATGATACATGGTAAGAAGGGCACAGTAAACTACCCTGAAAGAAGACCCAGCAGGAGGCACCAAATGGGCCCCGTACGGGCCCCAAAAATCCGAAATCGGGCTGCGTGAGCGCAGCATGGATGAATCCACCCCAGGGTCGGTGGATGAATCCAGGTGAGCGTGATGTGACGCAAGGTGGATTCATCCATCCCAGGGATGAATCCATATGCGGTGGAATGAGTCCACCGAAGTGACTCCTCTTAGGTACAGTCCACAATTGGGACAAAATAGCCTATCAGGGGTCACTTCATAGTAGCCTGAAGTGTTTATGGAGTAATGCACTGATCAGAAGGGTTGAACATGCTACGACGCACGGAGCTTAGGCAGATTAGAACTAGTTTCCAGGCAATGGAACACTGCGAGGCATCACACCGCCAAGCCGAGTAGCTTAGACTCAAACCTCCACGAGTTGTCTTTCCATACTGAATCTAGACGTTAATTTCCGAACCTCGTCTGGGAGATCCCGCGCCAGTTCAGTAACCGCGCCACCGCATCCGTTTTGGATGGTTAAAGTGGCGGGACAGGGACATTGCCGTCGTAGAAACTTCCTTTAGGCTTGGTTATAGCAGTGTGCAATCCAGTGGTAGCATGAACAGTTGAACTGTCATTCAGGGTTTTTTCGCTTCAAATTGAATGCTGGAATCGGTTAAGTCGATAATTCATATATGGAATTCATCGGTTTATCGTGCAGTAAAATGGCTATACAACGGTCGCTCGTCAGTATCCCATGATCCGACAGAGAAAGGGTATACGACTCAATGATACGGTGAAGGAAATAGATGTAAAATCTCAATCTGAATCCTCTGAATCAGAGTCTTCATCTGGCCGGAGGCCCGCGTCGAACAGCGCCGCTGCATACGGTGACACAATGCCCGTTTCCTTCGCCATCGGTATGTTCCGTTCCACCGCACATTCCACCACCATCTCGTGTATCAGCGGATTAATTCTGCAGCCAAAGATTAGTGTCACGGATCAAATTGAATATCGACGCTTGACTCCCTGTGCAGAGTGCGTAATGTTCCCCCACTGAACCGCATGGGGGACATCATGCAGACGAACGTCCACTCCTTCGGTGCGCAGCGCGGCGAGTAGCTCGTCCGTGCTTTCCCGTGAGTAGGCAATATCTGCACTGCAATGAACGAGTTGCACCGGGCACGAAATTCCGCGCAGAGTCGGGCGCGGCCGCGCAGTGAAGAACGCAACCGTTGCGGAGTGATATTCTTTAACCTTAGGAGGCGCTCCGTTGCTCATCGATGCGGTGAGCAGGGTCCTCGTTAAGCTGCAGGCACGAAAATCAGGCTGGTGTTCTAGTGTAAGAAACATAATCAATTGCGGACTCACGCGGTTATCGGGGACTGCATGTTGTTAACGCCCAGCTGCAGGCCCCCGCAGATGGCATCAGCGAGCGCGGACTCGTCCGCTTTCTCGTTGGCGCATACGCCGAGGCCTGTCTTCCAGTAGTCGTAGATCTCCTCCCGGCCCTCCGCGACCTCCGAGGGCTGTCAGGAATGGGTCAGGTTGGATTTGGCGTCGTAAAAAGGAAGCACTAACTTCTTCCATTGAAGGGGGTGAGATCAAAGATAGAGAGACTACTCGCTGGGGCCATAAGGCAGCGAGTTCGAGCGCGATGAGTGAACCCAGATTGATGCCCACTAGATGAACAGGTGGAAGATGCAGTGCTTCCTTAATCGCAGAAGGAAGGAAAATTACTATCAGTATACAGTCGGCTCGAATTTTAAAGAGCGAAACGTACAAGGAACTTGACGACATCATCCACAGCTTCACCAATGCCATAGGTCGGTTTAACAGCACCGATAGAATTGCCGTGGCCGCGTAAGTCGAGTGCGATGAGGTTGAACCTCCGCAGACGCGAGTCCGAAAATTGGTCTATTCGTCCGTTGGTATCAGCGTGAAGTAGAGTGGGAACACGCACGGTGGAGGGACATTTGGCCCAAGTAGAGCGGATGCAGGAGAACAAGGGTGGGAAGTGCAGGGTCAATTGCCTTGGCCGACGGTGAGTTGGGTGTGGCGATCGTATAGGCGACGCTCAAGGGCCCGCCGGCGCTGATGATGGAGACGTGCGGCATTTGGTTGGATGGATTTCGGGGTGGGATTTCTTGATTCCGAGTCCTGACGCCATTTTATGTGAAGGAAACGCGCTGAATTTCCAAAGAAACTCTGTGAAGTCAAGGTACAGGGGCCGGGTCTCGAAGGACGCGATAGCGACACAGGCAGGGGGATGAAGCATGTAAGACTCGGGGGAAGAAGCTCTGAAGTCATTTATAGGAACTTGACAATTTGCGGTCTAGAACCTCAGGCACGAATTGTGATGGCAACCCTCCTGATTGCGGTCCAACTCAGAAATGCTCGTTAGAGGGGAGGAGGACGGAGAAGTGAAGAGTAGGGAGAGCGGAGAACGGAGATGATTCTTCGCCATGAATAAAACCCAAGAGACTACTATTGCGCTTTTGGGGTGACTTTTTGAGGAAGAGGGAAGCAAGAGGGAAGACAGCTATATCTTTGACAGCCGATCGTAATATGACGAGTGGATCGTAAACGTCCAAGAGTTTCAGGAGTGATTCATACATGAAATGAAGGGTTCCAGACTTTGGAGGAAGCACCATAACTTGAGTAGATGGCCCCTGTAAGATATCTAGACTTGAAATTAATCTCACAAACTTCCAGTCAACTTTCTAGAATTTCAGTGAGGCTATTGAGAGAGGAGTTTGTATTGCGTACTCAAGACGTCAGGTTCAAGCTTGCAAGTTTAAAACAGCAAAGATGGGTTCTTCTCTCTTTTCGGATTTGAACCGGGGAATTCTGCCTAATTTCGGTGCCCATAGATAAAAGAAGAGGATGAATAAAGATTGGTGACGCCTATTCGGCTCCCTTTAAGTTGTGTCGCGATTGAACATCATACAAGTATGATTTTTGTTTGGTTCAAATTTGGTTCGAGGATAGTGTTAGGGGATCCAGCCGGCGTCTTCAAGCACCCCGCTCAAGGCAGCCGATGAATGTAGCGGGGTGACACAGGTCGATAAAGATCAACTCAGTGAGCGGTTGACAACGTAAACATCCACCATCGGCATTCGGCCACCAATAGCCGGCCACGTGTGCGGTTCTTTGTCACCCAGGCGGCCTCGGCCTCGGGTTGTCTCCCGCCACCGCCAGCGATTTGCTCAGCCCGAGCTCATGCGCCGTCTTTAGTCTCCTCTTTCTTCCTTTCTCTCATAACCCACCTATTTGCCTGAGATGCCCTCGATAGCACCCTGGGAATCTTTCCAGCGCACCCTTCCAAACGCACCAGGTGTCGACGTGACCCAGATCCGGGGAAACATCCCGGACGCGGAGAAGCAGGTGAACGCGAACGTCCTCGCGTACTTCGCCACCGGGAGCGGGAGGTCGCCGTTCCCGCCTTTTGGAACTGAGATTGGCGGCAAGTTGAAGATCGTGGAGCTGAATGTGTGGGATGATAAGGAAAGTGCGAGTGGGAGCGCAGAGTCGGAGGTCGTCCTTGAGATTGAGGTGACGCGGAGTACGCTCTAATTTCTTGATCGAATTACCCTGATTTTCTTTTTACAGGTATGTGCAATGTCTACGGGACGATGCACGGAGGCTGCGCGGCGTACATGCTCGATCCGTACGTAGGCCTTGAAGGAAATTAAATTTACCCGTCTAGACGAGTTCATTGTTCACTTCCAGAGCCACCGTGGCCTCGACCGTTCTCCTCGGACTCGCCAAGGGCTTCGATGGAACCGGCGTTTCACAATCGATGAATATTCACTGGCATCATCCTGCTCCACTGTGCGCGTTGGTGATCACATAAATGGGAAAGCAGCTAACACAATCTGGCAGCGGATCGACCCTCATCATAACAACGCGCTCCGTATTTGTCGACGGCCGTGCAAGACTGGCCCGGTGTGAGGTGTGTTTTCGTTCGAATTTCAATTTCTCTTCCCTTCCTCCACTCTCTATTTTCTGCTTCCACTCTGTCTTTTTCTTCTTTTCTATCGTTTCCCTAATAT